CCTCCAGCATACAAAATATTGCTGTATGCATCTTCTGGCTTTCCTTACCAAGATCCATACTAAGCTTGAGCTCTGGGAGCCATAGCTCAGCAATAACTGGCAAACCACAGATTCCCCATCCAAAAATGGACAAGCATCTGTTCTGCTAGGAAGACAGTATCTGCAGGTCCTTGGGAGGTTTTCCTTGTTTGCTATGACCACCCCCCCAAAATAATAATCCCTACAGTAGAGAAATTCTGCTATTGTGGAAATTTGGCATAGAAAATGTTTTAAAAAGAGTTTTGAATGTGAAAAATCTCAGAGGGGCCCATTGATGGATTAAGGGATAGAGCAGCCCATTCTTGGTCTTATGTTTCTGGGGGACACACAGTCTCTTAATGTCAACCTACCACAATGTTGGTCAATTTTTTTCCAATCGTGAACCACTAAATGAATGTTAAGAAATTGGGGGACCACCCAGTTAACCAAACAATTCCTTCTATAGTTTTATCTTTAAGGGCACAGGAGTTCATGTTTTATTTTCCAATAAAAATTAATCCAAATTAAATATTTATTTTCTGCTTGATTTTATATCAGTGCCAAGATTAGAATTCTTTGCACAAATTTCCCCGGGTATGTTTGTAAGTTTAAATCTCTGAGGACTAAGGGGCTAGGGGTGAGTGGATCTTTATCCCAGTGAAATCCCATTTGTTGCATTGCAATATTTTCTGTTTAGATTTTTCTTTTTAATGTTGCCTTAATGAAATTCCTGTTCCACTAAGCAACGCATGCATGGATTTTTAGTAAGAAACTATACATTATTATTACTTCTCTGAGTTGCAGTACTCACATAGTTATTTACATTACCTTTTACTTTATACATATTTAACTCATTAGAACTTACACTGCTCCAAGCTATAAGGATCTTAAATGACCTGTATGTTTTAGTAAACCACAAATCACAATTCAGTTATCTACTGATGGATATTAGGAGGTTATGATGGATCACTAGTAGACATCTAACAGCCGTGTTCCGGTATTTGAGGAGCTCCCCCCCACAAAAAAAAGGACTTCAGCTTATTTTCCAAAGCATCAGAAGGCAAGACAAGAAACAATGGATGGAAAATAATCAAGGAGAGAACCAACTTAGAACTAATGAGAAATTTCCTGACAGTGAGAACAATTAATCAGTGGAACAACTTGCCTCCAGAGGTTTTTAAGAAGAGACTGGACAATCAATTTTCTGAAATGGTATATAGGGTTTCCTGCTTTGAGAAGGGTTAGGAATAGAATTAGATCATCAAGGTTCCTTCCAACTCTGTTGTTCTGTGATCTACTGACTGAGAGAAAGTGACTGAGCCAAAGCCACCCAGTTGGCTTTCATGGCTAAGGTGGGACTAGAACTCAAAGTTTCTAGCCTGGTGCCTTAACTACTAGAGCAAACTGGCTTTTCATCATGGAGTTTGAGTTTCTTGTGCATTTTTTTAAGGTATGTAAAAGCGTTGCAGATATGTTGCATGGTATAAGTTAAGGACTACCTGTAATTATCATAAATAAAAGCTATTGTTTGATTTAGCTGAGGTTAGGCAAGGAAAATGAAAATCTGTCTTTAAGGCAGTATTTCTCAACTTCTGCACTTTTAACATGTCTGGACTTCACCTCCGCACTTGGCTGGGTGTGGAATTCTGGGCATTGAAGTCCTATGTCTTAAAGTTGTTGAAGTTGAAAAATATTGCTTTAAAAGAACCTTTCCCAAACCAGCATCATCTACTTTGACCTTCCAAAATTCTTATCCTAAGTATTTCAGGATATTGCTAGGGAAACACTGCTGTGCGGTCACATTAATCTCCTGTACTATAATCTTTGTTGTAACTCACAAGCATGCACTTCAAGGGAGTTGTTCAGAGTGAACTGTTGTGTCACATTCTCTAGATTAGAACCACACCCACCCACAGGGATGATACCTTTGAACAAGTTGTCATTCCTAGCCATATCCAGGACAAAAGTCACCATAACTCAGACTGAGTGCCTCTGTGACTCAGATACTGAAGAATCAATACAATACAATAGCAGAGTTGGAAGGGACCTTGGAGGTCTTCTAGTCCAACCCCCTGCCTAGGCAGAAAACCCTATACTGTTTCAGACAAATAGCTATCCAACATCTTCTTAAAGACTTCCAGTGTTGGGGCATTCACAACTCTTGAAATTCATTCACTTGAAAGACATGGTCAGGTCAGGACTTCATGGTTTGGTTGGCCATTTCTAGTTACCCATCGTTCAGAAAATATCTTGAGTTGATAAACTTGCCAGTAATTTGGCTTGTATTTTGCTTGTCTGTAAAAATAAACCACAGCAATCTGACTCTTGGATAAGGCAGCTAAATCATAAGTTACGGTTTATATATCCAAAAGTAAAAATAAAGAACACTAAAATAACCAAGGCACATCTCAATCTAATATGTGATTAGATACATGTACATATAGCACCACCTCACACTTTCTATGGTAGATTTGTTCAACATTATGGCTGTTTAGATGTCCTAATTCCATTATATTTGAAAAATAATGGCTTATTTTCTAATTTGGCTTACTGTATTTCAACAGAAATAGACCACCAGAAACATATTGAAATATATTGAAGTGATGAAAGAAATGTCCTTCTGGGTTTGGCTCCAAGTGGGGAAAAAGACACTGGAGACATGGAGGCTGCTTGGAAAGATGGTTTATTGGTNAAAAAAATAATTCCAATGCTGGCTGGGGAATTCTGGGAGTTCACACATCTTAAATTTGCTAAGGTTGGGAAACACTGCCACAATGGATTGAAACCAGCGGTGGTATTCAGGCGGTTCGGAGCGGTTCAGGCGAACCGGTAGTTGTTACCTACAGTTGGCGGTGGGCTTGCTCACCCACCCCGGCTCTGTCGTCCTATTTAACCACATTTTCTAAGCTGCATACATGTGTGCAGAAGATACACACACTCACAGTTTTGGGAAGCAGCAAACCGGTGATAAAATTATGTGAAACCCACCTCTGATTGAAATGCACTGTGTGAACTCACCTGCTTTTAAGCCAAAGTGGACCATCATTTGAAGTTATATATCTATATCAAGGTTAAATATACGAGCTATTGGTAAGTATGAATGCCTCTAAGATTAATTTAGCTGTCTACCTACGTACCTTTTTCTTTTTGGGACCCTAAATGCAGAGAGGAAGGGAAAAAAAGAACAGAGAAAATCAGAAAAGCACAATAAAATTGTCAAGACAACGGAGGGGAAAGTATTCTGAATTCCATCTTACCATCAGCCTAAATATCTGTGTTCACACAAACACAAGTTGAACCCATAAAAATGGAACACTGAAAGTCTCAACCGTCTTCTAATGCTTTACAAAATATCCTGTCTCGGATTGCAGCTAGTCCTCACTTAACAACCAGCAATTCTTTGAAATTAGAATGAACCTCCCCCCCCTCCAGAGCTATCTATGACTCAGTTCCGGAGATCTAACCGTCATACCCTCCCATAATTTTCAGTGGTTTTTGGGTCCAATTCTAGCATTTACTTCCAGCTTTGGGCAAACCCCCCCCCCACCAATTGAATAAAATGGGTTCGTTTAATGACTGCCACAAAAAAAGGGATTGCAAAATCAGCCGCTGGTCCTGTGGTGACCCACTTAATGACCGCTGTAATGTGTGATGAGCCACGATGGTGCAGTGGTTAGAGTGCAGTACTGCAGGCTACTTCTGCTGCCTGCCGGCTGCCTGCAATTTGGCAGATCAAATCTCACTAGGCTCAAGGTTGACTCAGTCTTCCGTCCTTCCGAGGTCGGTAAAATGAGGACCCAAATTGTTGGGGGCAAGAGGCTGACTGTGTCAACCGCTTAGAGAGAGCTGTAAAGCACTATGAAGTGGTGCATAAGTCTAACTGTTATTGCTATTGCTATAATCCCAGGCAAAAAGCTTGTAAAATGGGGTGTGACTCACTTAACGACCAACTTGTTTGGCAACAGAAATTCAGCTCCCAATTATGGTTATAAGTTGAGGACTTTTTGTATTAGGAAGGCAGAATTCACTGGCAGCCAAGGAAAAAGAGCTCAGGTGGATATTCCACAGGTGAAATGCATGTGGAAGACCAAGGGAAGGCATCACCTGTGGAATATCCACCTGCTTGGTAAAGCCACCTCGGGTTTAATAGGACCGAGACATGAAGCTTTATTGGGGTTTGACCCAAAGCAAAGGCGTCATTCTCGCCTCCATCTTAGCATCTCCAAGTGGAAATAAAATATTGTTTTGGAAAAGAAGCAGGAAAAAAAAAGAAAAAAAGTTATTTTTTTTAAAAAAGACATGCAGATTATAACCCCAATGGGGAAGGAGGTGCCAAATCCCGCAACTGCAGGGCGTGGCTGCGTTCATACAACACATTGACCCACTCGCGTGTTTCATTCTCTTTGCAAAGCGTCCGCAAACGAGATGCGGGGTGCGTGTGATTTGCATATGCAGATAGATATGCAAATAAGATCTCCCCTCAGGTTGGGGGAAAGGGCGTCACTCACCATTTTTCAGCGGCACCCTCAACAGCCAGGCTGAAAAGTTGTTGACGACCCCGCCCCTCCGTTTCCGCGGCAACCAGTCCCGCCCCTCCACGCCGCGCTCCAAGAGTCCCCGCCCCTTGACGCTCCTGGCAAAGGGGAATGAATTCAACCAAGAGGAAGGCTAGTGTGGGAAGACACTTCCGGTTCCCAAGTGAACTTTGCGGAGTCTATATTAGACTTACGCGTCTCATATACAGAACGAGGACAATCGGGATGCGTGGCGCTTCGGGAGGAAAATGAATAAGGTCTGAGGTTTTTTGGGGGGCCACTCCGTGCACTGATAGAGGTTTTGCCAATGCGTACGTTGAATCGAATTCGGAAGTGATAACTGAGGAGGTGGCAGTTTTCATTTTGTTCTTCCTCTTTCATATATTTTACACCCGAATGCTAACTTGGATACGCAAGGGGAAAAATGAGCACCCTTTAAAATTAACTTTTAAAATTTTAATTGCGTTTTGCCTGTTGTGTGTATGGAGCCGCCCATTCTTGCCGACCGCGAAGCGATTACAATTCCATTTGGTTAAAACGGGACTCTCCTCTGAGAGCAGAGGCACTCCTCTTCCCTTTCGTATCTCTGCCTATCCCTGCTTGCGAATCTTAAGGCAATGACATTCAGGGCGTTTGAAGAGTCCTCTGGCGCCGCCCCTCGAACTTGGGCGCAGGCGCAGTAGCCTTAAGTAGTCTTACCAAATTGGGAGTTTATGAACTACGCAGGTAAGTGAATTTTAGCTTAACGTTAAGTGAAATTAAGTGAATTACGTTCTCATCGGGTTGGGGAACCTCCCAGACTCCGGGGACTCGGCTTATTGGTGGGCAGCTTGCAGCTGTAGCCTTCAGCCCTCTTGGTATGTTGCAGTACTACAGCTCCCATCATCCACAGCTGACTGCAGAATAGGAAATCTCTGATTAAAACCCTAGAAATTAGCTGGATTCAGTGTTGCATGCATGCAGGATCTCGACAGGATCCTTTTTCCTTACTACCTGCGAGGTTGGTTGGGGGGAAATCTTAGTAATGGATCAAAGTCCTCCCCGGGGAGCCTCTGTGGTTGTGGAAGGACTCCAATCTGATTTGAGTGTTTTGAATCCAGCCTCTTCACCACTGTTGCACCCTGGTTAGGGCAGGTTGTAAGCAATAACTTTTCCCTGTAACTTTTTTTTTTAATTTATCAAAGTATCAAATAAATGCTAGAATTCAAAAAGCAACAATTGCCTGGAGCTCACTCAAGAAACTCTGGGCTAGGAAAGACATTNAATAGCAGAGAATAACTATACTTCCAGAAAGCACATCAATTTTAACAGCATCTGTACAAGTATAGTCTGAAATATAACACTACAAACAGTGTATAGTGTCTATATTGTTTGCTGTTTGTTGCAAGGAGGCAAATTGCTGACAGGCAGAGCCAGATATTTTTCCCTTGTTTTCCTCCCCAAAAGCTAGATGCGTCTTATACTTCGGAGCGTCTTATACTCCGAAAAATACGGTATGTTCATTCCGGACATTTTCCCCCCTTATAAATAAATATCCGGGCAATGCCGGATTATCAGATAGTCTGTAATTTAAAAAAAAAGCTGTTCGGATTGCATCATGCACCTCATTTTTAAACTGATTGTTCTTCAGGTCAATATGCCAGTCCTCATGAATAAAACGGATATATGTCTCAACTGACAACATGGCCAACCCTCTCAGATACGAAGTACTGAATCTGTACAAAAACGTAAGTCCTGAGGAGTAACTCTGCCTTCTCCCAGTGGGGAACCTCTGAAAACGTTGGACCTGTAAATCCCCAGGCAGATGGGAGTTTTATGTCCAGCCATTTGAGGGACACCTGGTTAGGGCAGGCAGAGTAAACTGGACCTAAATAAGAATTCCTATGATTTGTTCCATGTGTAATACTCAACCTTTTCTTGTGTTTTGAAGCTTCTGTATCTGGGAAAGGAGTACCCCAAAGGGGCTGACTACTTTCGAACTCGACTCAAGGCAGCCTTCCTGAAAAACAAGGAAGTGAAGGACCCGGAAGAAATAAAAAAACTGATCGCCAGAGGCAAATTTGTCATCAAAGAACTGGAAGCCTTGTACTTCCTCCGAAAATACCGAGCTCTGAAACAACGGTACTACGAGGACAGCTGAGCACCAACCCGTTGTAAAGTCTGCAAGGCGGGTGCAGGCCAGGGGTTAAATGGTGGGTGATCGGGCTTGTAATGGTAGTAATAAAATCTGTTGAATAATGTCTTTGTTCGTTCTGCAGAAAATGAGGGTTGAAAGCAAAGGCAGAGAGGCATCTGTTACCATCAGGGTGGGTGATGGCTATTAATTGAGATAGATTTTAAACTATTAAAAGTATAGGTAAAGGTTCCCCTCACACATATGTGCTACTTGTTCCCGACTCTAGGGGGTGGTGATTAACTCTGTTTCAAAGCCGAAAAGCCAGCGCTATCCGAAGACGTCTCCATGGTCATGTGGCTGGCATGACTAAACACCGAAGGCGTACGGAACGCTGTTACCTTCCCGCTAAAGGTGGTCCCTATTTTTCTACTTGCATTTTTTACCTGCTTTCGAACTGCTAGGTTGGCAGAAGCTGGGACAAGTCACGGGAGCTCATTCCGTTACACAGCGCTAGGGACTCGAACCGGCCACCTTTCTGCTTGACAAGCTCAGTGTCTTAGCCACTGAGCCAACGCGTCCCTTTAAATGGATTGAGGCACCATAATTCCCAGAATTCATCTCTCTGGTTGCATTAAGATGTTGCATTAACTGGAATAATCTCTGTCACCAGACTAATAAGAATACACCACCAGCATACAGCTGTCAGATCTATGGGAATCCTATTTTACCTGTATGTGCACCTTTGCAGGGCTGACTAATCAAAACATCTGCCTGCCGGAACCGGTTCATAACCGGATTATTTCCACACAGCTGTAGAAGGCCTCACCCACCTTATTTAAACTAGCTTTAGGCTGACGGCATTCCCACAGCACAGGTCATAGATCGAGTGATTCCCAAAAACGCCTGTTCACAACAATACAAGAAATCATAAGCCATAGGTCTGCCCAACACTTCAGTCTCAATTCTGAAGTTAAGTGCTTTGGAGCAGGTAAAGGACATCCGAATAAATAGATCACTTTCAGAACATTGATAAATTAGCCAACTGTTACCTTCATTGGCTTTGAAACTCAGCCGCCGGCACGTTTTCAGTCCAGAGATCAAAATTACGTGAACAGGAATAAAAAACAGATCGAGCAAATGAAAAGGCTTCACCAGTAAGGCCACACCTAGAATACTGCATCCAGTTTTGGTCACCCCATTATAAAAAAAGATGTTGAGCCTCTAGAAAGAGTGCAGAGAAGAGCAACCAGGATGATTAGGGGGTTGGAGGTTAAAACATAGGATGAACGGTTGCAGGAACTGGGCCTGGCTAGTCTAGTGAAGAGAAGGACCAGGGGAGAAGAACGGTTGCAGGAACTGGGCCTGGCTAGTCTAGTGAAGAGAAGGACCAGGGGAGAGATGAGGGCAGGGTTCCAATATTTGAGGGGCTGCCACAAAGAAGAGGGGGGTCAATCTGAAGGTGGGACAAGAAATAATGGATGGAATCTGAACAAGGAGAGATTCAACCTGGAAATAAGGAGAAATTTCCTGACAGTGAGAACAATCAACCCATGGAACAGAAGTTGCCTTCAGAAGTTGAGGGAGCTTCATCCCTGGAAGCTTTCAAGAGACTGGACTGCATCTGTCAGAAATGGTGTAGGGACTCCTGCTTGAGGAGGGGGTTGGACTTGATGACCTACAAGGTCCCTTCCAACTCTGTTAATCTGTTAACAATGCCCTGGAGATCTCTTCCTCAACAGCAGTTTAGAGAAAACACTGACTGCAAATAATTCATGTAAAGGGAGAGCTTGTTATGTTAGATTTTTGGTGGTGGCTACAATAGAATTCTACTCTAGTAATAGTAAAAACATCCTTCTTTTGAAAGAAAGCTTTGCAATTGAAAATGATAACTGTCTGTCTCAGTAATAGTGGCTGTAACATAAAAATATCATTAAAAAAAAGAAAAGAAATTATAGATTGGGCCCAAATTCATTCTGCCCTAATTATTAAAAATGCAAATGTTTTAGTAGCTTAAAAAGGGAAGAGGCCTCATATTATCTACGGATGGAAATGAGAAGGTAAATATCTCCAATCTGACATCCAAAACATGACATGGTTAAAATTCAGGGGCTGCAGAAAACGTTGTTGTACATAACGTTGGTGTAATAGTGAAGGGTGGGGGGACAACGACGAAGTGACTTTTAGTTTCACAGGCTGAAGCTATTTCTATATTATAAAAGACTTTTCCTTCATTTCTTAATGAAAGATAAATGGAAGGAAGAAACAGAATTCTGGCAATTCTGGGGTTGGACTAAATGACCTCCTAGATCCCCTCCAACCCTGTTATTCTGTAATCCAGTAACAGGTTAAGCCAAAATTCCTGCAGGGATGAGCTTTTGACAAATGTTCAGATCATTAATAAGGTAAAGGTTCCCCTCGCACACGTGTTAGTCATTCCTGACTCTAGGGGGCGGTGCTCATCTCCGTTTCAAAGCCAAAGAGCCAGCGCTGTCCGAAGACATCTCCGTGGCCATGTGGCTGGCACGACTAAATGCCAAAGGCGCACAGAATGCTGTTACCTTCCCACCAAAGGTGGTTCCTATTTTTCTACTTGCATTTTTACATGCTTTCAAACTGCTTGGTTTCCAGAAGCAGGGATAAATAACGGGAGCTCAGTCTGTTACGCGGGGCTAGGGATTCAAACCACCGAACCGCCGACCTTTTGATTGACAAGCTCAGTGCCTTAGCCTCTGAGCCACTGCGTCCCCAGATCATTAATATCTGGCTTTATAACCACCTCCACTGTTTGCTCTGTCGCCTGATTTCACCTTTATTTTTTCCTTAAAAAAAAAAAAGGGACAAAAACAAAGCACTGGCCTCCCGCATCATCTTTATTTAAAACAAAGGCTTCGGAGTGTTTTATCAGGTTCTAAAATATTGAATAAGATGGGTCGGTGCCACTTAACTGATGCTCAATTTTAACCCTAACCCGTTTCTGGCCTTCCCGGATAGCAATAGCAGTTAGACTTATATACCGCTTCATAGGGCTTTCAGCCCTCTCTAGAGTCAGCACATTGCCCCCACATTCTGGGTCCTCATTTCACCCACCTCGGAAGGATGGAAGGCTGAGTCAACCCTGAGCCGGTGAGATTTGAACAGCTGAACTGCAGTCAGCTGAAGTNCTGACAACCCTAGCCCAGGACTGAAAACAGTGGCGCCAAATTTCCATGGAAGTCGCCTATACCCACGATGGGTGAAGAGGCGTCAAGTACAAGTACAAGTACAAGTACAAGTATCAAATCAATGCATGAATCTGAGTGCCATACATTCTCATACAAATAAAGCTAATGCAGTTAATCATAATCCTTGAATTCAATCCGCTTGTACATTTCTAATAATAATGCATACTTGCATTAATTTATAGTCTCATTATTCAATTATTCCACATTTTCTCTAGTTATTATTTTCATTTTGTCATATAAAATTTGGTCTACACTAACGTGCCCCCTTTTCTTGTTTTTATCACTTATTCTAGCTTTTGATCATATCACCCTTTATTTTTTTTAAAAAAACTTTCCCTTTCTTTCTTATCTAACTTCTAATCATGTCACCTACTTAAAAAAGGAAAAGGAAGAAGAGAGCAAAGGAACTCAAAACAGCAACAGCACAAGAAAAAAACCTTGATCATCCCTTGCCCGCTATCATCCAAGAAGTAGATTTAAGAGAGGAATATGGGAGGCAATTTTTTTTTTTAAAAAAAAGCATAGCAATTAACTTTTTCCTGTAACTTTTAAGACTTTTTAGGAACTTAATTTTCTTCCTTGGTTGCTTTTCTCTGCAAATTCCTACACTCTTCCTTAAGAAAATCCTTGTTATATGGATGGTTCATATTTGTTGAAGAGGGGAAAATATCTTAAGCAAGGGGGGAAAAAGTGATCAACCAGTATGAATCAAATCCAACTTCCAACTTTTCTCTGATGATTCCTCTTAATTTCAGAATGATTGTAAGCAGCAGGTGAATTGAATTTTTTTCTAGGTTTTTGGTTGGTTTTTGGACCGCTGTCAGGCCATTTGGGGGGACCCAAAACAGCCTGAAAATGGCCTGAAAAATGGCCCTGAAAATGGCCCAAGAAACAGCCTGGTTTTGGGCCGTTTTCAGGCTGGTTTTCAGGCCAAAAACAGCCTGAAAATGGCCCCCAAAAGGCCTGTTTTTGGCTATTTGGGGGCAATTTTTGGCTGATTTTTCGGCCTGTTTTTGGCCTGAAAAATGCCCCCAAAACAGCCTTGAAAAACAGCTAAAAACAGCTTTTGGGGGGGCATTTTTCGGGCTGCTGTCAGGCTGTTTTTAGGTGCTCCAGCACCTGTGAAAAGCAGCTGGCCAGCATCCATGTGCACACTAGAAACCAGAAGAGCAGCTGGCGACGGCACGTATGCCATAGGGTCTCCATCACAGAGCAAGAGGATGTTAAGGATTGTAGTCCAACACATTTGAAGGAACTTAATGGTGTTCAAACGATGCATCAGCTGGCTCTCCAAAATGTCAAAAAACAAAACAAAACCCAAAACAGACTAAAAGATGTGGAGATTCAGAAACTGGGAACAGTGAGAAAGGTGATTAGAAGTCCAGAGGCTGAAACACACGAAGAATGATTGCAGGAATTGGGTAAATCTAGTAGTCCACAGGGGTGCTCCCTCTGGTAAAGGAGAAAATCCAACATTAGAAATTACCGTATTTTTCAGAGTATAAGACACCCCTTTTTCTTCCATAAAAGAGGGTGAAAATTAGGGTGCGTCTTATACACTGAATGTAGCCCCTCGCAGCCACTGGCCTCAACCCTTTCGCCTGTGCCTCCCAGCAATTTACCTCCTTGCAGCAAATGGGGGGGGGGGGTTGCGGTGGCTGCAATAGGCTATAGGAATCCCTGCAGCCTGAAACAGCTGATGATCGGGAGAAATTGAAAGTGAAACTTGCTGTTTGCTCCAGGAGGCAAATTGCTGGGAGGCAGAGACAGATTTTTTTCCCTTGTGCTAGCCAGGCTGTTTGCTGCAAGGAGGTATTTCAGTAACTATAAATGCCTATAGAATGTACAAATTATTAGACTTGCTTTTTAAAGACGGCCTTATTATTGCTTGAGACAGCTTAACAA